TCCCTTTAAGCCCATGAGTTTCCCTGCATGGTTCTGTTTGTTAGATTGGTAAGATCTGAACTCCTTCTGAACTTTTTTGAAAGGAGGGCTGCTATTGGCCAAATAAGGAAGTAAAGAGCTGTAACCTGCTGCTGCTGCTTTGTGACCTTTTACTTTTAGGATTAAGATTTTTCTGGTGCTGAGTCTCCTTTGTTAATAAAAGCCAGTGTCCTCAAGGGATGCAGCACCGTAAGCTTGAACTTCAAATAACTTTTTTCACTTTTAACTCTTTCAATTAAAATAAAATTTCAAATCAAGATATTTCATCTTAGACTCTGTATGTGTAATTCATTCCCCTGGTTGTTGCATGTATTTATTTGTACTCTTCAGATTGATAAAAGATTGTAGTAAGTGCATTTTATGCCATGAGTGTAAAATGTTTCTCCTGTAGGGCTGCCACATGGGGTTTTCCTCAGGCTACTCTCTCAACTCAGTCTTTGATTTCGAGACTGTCTTTGGGGACATTATCGTCATGGCAGATCCCAAAGGAAAGGAGCCTCCTAGCAGACTGTTCTCTAGATACAGTCCCTAAGGTGCTTCTTTAAGTTTATCCATCATCCAGTCAATGCTAATATTCAAAACAATGGTGGAGGAATTCCTATGGAGGTTGGGAACCAGGCTTGTATCTCCCATTGACTTGAACACAATTTTCCATTCCATTAGAGAGTTCTATCAATGGAACTGTCTTTGTAGGGACTCCTAATTGTTTCATCAAGTCTGATCAGTTCTTATTTAGTTAGAATTCCTCAGTTTGTTTTCCTGCTGCTACTAGAGTGTCACAAGTAAGACTGTGATGAGAATGCCTTGAAGAAAATTCTTTTACACCTTTTCACCTGGTTATCGCTGTCTTTTCAGTACAGTATCGTGTTTGTTGTATGGCAAGTCTAAACACAGTATTTACTGTTGAGCAGGGATGATAGTACATGTTCTTGAGGGGGTGAGGTTTTTCCAGTATATCTCAGTTAATGGTTTGCATGCTCTCATGTGCATGGAGTTGTGCACAAGTTGAGAGCTGTAGCCAAAGGAATTTTTTTTTTCAAGCACTTCAATGTGTTTTCACAGTATTGGCTAAGAGGATAAGTTTTGAAGTTGACTTTATTACAAAAGGTTCATTTTCTCCCCTTTTGGTCCTAATTTGAAAGACCAGTTTTAATGGCATTTTCTTTACATTTCTTAAGCAGGAAGTAAAAATGTTTTCTGTTTTTCAGTGTGTGCTGTTTCATGACTTTACTCTCTACACATGATTTAAATGTTATACCCTTTATTTTCAAAATAAAAACTGTAGTGTTTTTGTATTATGCTGTCAGTTGAATCTGACTAAATTATGTGGTGGCACAGTTATTACTTCTGCTGATGTTGAAAAGTCTAAAATCAGCCTTGGAGGTATTGTTGTGGAATTGTTTATTTTTAAAATATGGTTCTCGTGTTGCCATAAGCTTATTCCCTAGCACTTTAACGTTTGGCCAGAAGGTGATGGGTTTAAACCTAACGCAGTTCCACAAGTTAGCTGAGGTATTATATGGAATTCCCTTTGGCCCCTTCCTGGTGATTATCGCACTGGAACAAGAAATTCCATGCCACTTCTCAAATTGTAAACTCAGTGTTCTGATCTGCCTACCCTCTGTCAATAAGAGGTTTTAATACATCAGTTCCTAATAATGACTATTGTGATTGAATGCCTTGTATCTTTGAGTTGAGAGTACAGCTCAAATGTATTGAATTTGGTAGTGGGATTCTAAGGTCTCTTATGCCACAGACCAGGTGATCAAAAAGGTATTTTATGTCTTCAAATGTAGGAATGTATGTGAGTAAAAGGCACAGTATGAGATTAAATTCTGATATTTCTATTTATGTTACTATTGCCAACCCTATACAAACACAAAAGCCACTTCAGTACTGGAATTACCATGTTTGCATTGCTAGTGAGTTACTAGATTTACTACATTCCTGTTAATTAAGTTTGTCTATTTGTGGACCTTATTATTGCAAATACTGGATTTGCCAGGAAGTGGAAGTCATTACTTGGAGACTGTCAGATTTGCATCACTTATCCTTTGTTTGAGATTGCATTGTTGATTTATGAGAGAATACAGAATAGGGAACTCCTACACTTTTAATAGGGAATTGTCCCTTAAGTGTGATTCCACTATGAAAAGGACTGCAAAACATCAGTACATCTGCCTCCTTTGTGTACAAAGTCTTATCTACTTACTTTAATGACCAAAGATACCTTTTGTTTTTGTTAGGTGAATTCATTTTGCTGTTCTACATTGGCATGAGTTGGCTTCTATGCAGATTAGGTAACAATTCTATTGATACTTTAGATTCGAGTTACAAAATAATTTGAGAACAAGAAAAAAAGTTTGATATACAGATTTCAAGCTTAGTTTGCAAAGCTAGGGGTTAAACAAATCCATCTTTTTTCCTCATTATTGAAAAACTGATCAATGAGTAATTGAAAAGAAACACCAGTTAGTCTGACTCCAACAATATCAGTGATACAAAATTATCTGTGAGAAATGGAAAGTTATAACACAGTTTCTTCATAGGCCATAAACTGTTATTGAGCATTGATATTGTTTTTAGATGTGGTATATAACCTGGCCTCTTTGGTTATCTGAAGACAACTTAATAAGACTATATACTGCAAGACTGTGTACCCATTGAAAGAATTAACTTTAGTTTTTTATCTGGTTAAGATCAAACAATGAATTGAATTCTCTTTGTACGTTGACATCTGAAGATTTATATCTTCCAGCTATGTTCCTGTTACAGAGCTGGCAGAAGTGACCTCTTCAGAGAAGGTCTTTGTTATGGATTTTGCTCTGTTTACATTTTTGCCATGAGGGTCACAGTGAAGTACAGTACATTAAAGCTAATACATCACAAGTTGACAGTGGTCTTATCTCTTTGATACTTCTTCCCCCTCTCCCAATAAGGAAAAAGGCAAGCACAAAGAATATGAGGTTCTGGAACAGAAATTAAATAATAGTTCCCAAAGTTCTTTGTTGTTAATGTCAGGTCTCTATGTACAATATATTTTGTGTCTGGTCAAATGGCTGTGTAACATCCTTTTCTATGAAGTTGTTGCAAAAAATTGCTTTTACCACATAAATATTCTCCCTTCTGTAGTATGATTTGCCAAAGTAGATACTGAAGAAGAGGCAAAGCTATTAGGTTTCTTCAGAGACAACCAGTTCATCATGGGCTGAGGAAGTGACTCTGGATTGGAAGAAGTGAGAGTTTGAAGCTAGATCTGCATAAGAGAGGATACCTCTACCATACCTCCATGGAGCTCAGAAGCACTAGAAAAATTCCGCCCCAGGCACTTTCTTTCCTTGAGAATTTGGTGATTCTCCACAACCGATAGTGGAAGCCAGATGGTTCTTTCTTTTCCCAAGCAGCTTTTAGAGGATGCAAGCTCTAGTCTGCAGCTCCTACACTGTCCGTTGAACGTGGAGGGTGCTTTGGTGACACAGTATGTTGTGCTTCTGGTTAACTCACCAGAGATCTAGACTTGTGGGACAAGATGGCTAAGTGAGTCAGAGCATCAGTAGAATCAGTTTTTTCTCATTATTGATATCGTTCTACCCTGAACTGACAGGCACTGACTATATCAGAGTCATCACTGGACCATAAGTTTCTGGGGAAGGAATGAGCCACTAAGGGAAGGAGAAGAAAATGAGGAATTGGGGACAACTACAACATGAAAGGGGAAGTGCCATATCAAACACTTCAACAAGCCAAATAAGTTTAGGCAGGGGTGATTGACATTCTGTAATATAGACCTAATGCACTGTGTAACATGTGATCTTGATTACTATACAGCAGTGGTCTCCACCCTTTTTAACCACAAGATCACTTTTTCAATTTAAGTAAATGTAAGATCTACCTCAAACCCTTCCTTCCCGCCCCTTCTTTGAGGCCCCACCCCTGCTCTGTCCCTTCTTGAGGCCTCACCCTGCTCACTCCATCCCCTTTCTTCCCCCATCCTCTCTCACTTTCACCAGGCTGGGGTAGGAGGTTGGGGGGCAAGCTCTTGTCTTGGGCCAAGGAGTTTGGAGCATGGGAAGGGCTCCAGGCATAGCCAGGGAGGAGGATTGGAGTCCAGGAAGGGTTTCAGGGTACAAGCTCTGGGAAGGAGTTTGGGTGCAGGGGGACTCGCATCTAGAGCAGGAGGTTGGGTGTAGGAGGCAGTTAAGAACTGGGACGGGTTCAGGAAGCAGGCTCTGGCTGGGCACCATTTAATTTAGACAACTTACGGGTGGGAGCAGCGAGGTTAAGGCAGGCTTACTCCTGCCCTGGCCCTGCACCACTCCTGGAAGCAGCTGGCATGTATAGCAATGGCTCCATAGTGCCATGTGCTGTCCCTCACCTACAAGCACTGAGCCCACAGCTCTACGGGCCACGGTTCCCAATTATTCATCAATGGGAGCTGCAGGAGTGGTGTCTGCAGGCAAAGACAGTAGGTGGAGACTCCCTCCTCTGCCTTTCTCAGGGGCTGCAGAGATATGCCAGCCACTTCCAGGAGCACAGTTACCACAGGGATGATTCCCCCAGCCACAACAGGTTAGGCATTCAGGTTAGAACTCACTACTCAGAGAAATAAACTTAAGCATAAGAGAGAAATGAAAATTATAAAATGCACAGACCATTAAAAAACATTGTTCTGAAAGCAAATAATGGCCGTGGACTTTCCAAAAGATTAATCCAAGAAGTCATTGTAAGCATGAAGAATGCTGTTTAATAAGGAAAATACCTCAGATACCAAGTCCTCACAGAAATAGTGCCTCTCATTCTATATATTGAAGAGAACCCCTCATTCTCACTGCCAGTTGGAATGTTGAGAGAACTTCTGCATGTTCTTGTTTTCCATTTTAAGTAGAAACTCAGATATAATGCAGCTGTTGTTTCAAACCCATAAAAACGTATTTTGTTTCAAAATGTGAATCTCTCAATAGGGTGCAACACTATTATCTTTTGAAGATGGAGAAATGGATCTCACTGGGCACACTGAACAGCTGACATCTCAGAAGGCCAAGTTCACTTTCAGGTAGGAACACTTTCTGTTTAATATTGATTTATGAATGTGCTTGCCAGCATGCAAGATGAGAAGACTGTTACATTTTTTTATTTTTTTACCTTTTCCATCCTGAAAATTCACTCCCCCTTGCATACATAAGCACTTTTATGTATGAGTATCTTTTCCCTTGGATGATGAATCTTTATGACTTTGACTTGTATGTTTGACTGGTTATGGGATATGAGGGAAGGAAGAAATATGGTACTCCTTTATATGTTTGTAGTTTGCTTTTTAATCCATTTCATAAGCTGCTTAAAGATTAAGATCGGCAGTATATGTTGTAGGGATGTTTGAGTGTAAACGACTAACCATTTAATCGATAAGTGGGTGCTTGTCAGTTAACGGTGCCAGATATGCTCAGTGAAGCCTTCTCCCTGGGAGCCAGGCTGGTGGCCACAGTCCTGGAGAGCACCTTCCATTTCTACTTTTAAAGACCCCCCTTAATATTTCATGTAAACTTATTACACTGATTTTTTCTGAAATTGTCTCCAGTTTCTTATGTCTAAATTGTCCTGTTTTTCACGTTAGCAGACTTTTATCTTAAGTTGTTCAAAGCAGTAATTTTGTTTTTATTTCCATGTTTGTATGTCTTCTGTACTGTTTTACGGTACTCTAGCACTAAACAGAGATGTCTCCATCCCTATCCTTCCTACAGAGTAGGGATATATGCCACAGGGATATTTAATCACTCTCTCACACTCTTTTTTAGGATCCCCTCTAGACATATGGCAACCTGCTCATGGAATATCTTTTTTGTCTGCACTGCATAATCTTTGTTTTGAAGTTTGATCACGTGTGTATCTGATCACATTATTGCCAACTTTTGTGATTTTAAAAAAAAATCATATCTAGCCATTTTGGGGTATTTTTTAACTTGAAGACATGATGAAAGGCTGCCAATTCACGAATTTTCCCTTATTCAAAATGATCACCATCTCGTATTGTGGCTGGGTCTATAGCTAGCAAGAGAGCCACCAATCTCATGAGTTTTGAGAGTCTGTCTCAGGATTATTAATCTCTTGAAATTTGCCTTACTGTAGTAAGCACTGTCATGAGGATTCTTATCTATTTTTATCTTTGTGCTTATATGGTTCCCATCACTGTAATATTTAAGCCTTTCTCAGTGCTTAATGTGCATCCTTACAATTCTTGGGTGCAGTAGGGAAGCACTATTCTCCTCATTTTACAGTGGGGGAACTGAGACCAATGGTAAGGACTTGCCCAGATCACCTAGGAAGTCGGTTTCCAAGCTGGAAATTGAACCCAGGCCCCGAATGACATCTCAAACAACTAGATCATCTTTTCTTTTTTGGCACATCACCAAATTCTTTCCCCCAAACAATACAGATGTTTGTTTATCCCTCTTTCTCTGTTTTTGCCACTTTGCTTTGTGTCTGGCTTCCTCCTTTTTTAATGAACAATGGGGAAGGCCATGGTTTTCAATCCATCTGTCTGGTTGATTGGTTTAGCCTCCCTCTTTGGGCTCTGGTCATGCAGGATGTGGCAGTTTCCAGCGTCTCTTTAAATGATTTCTGACACTAATCTATTTGTAGAATGGTAGCATTGTGGTTAAAGGGTATCAAAGTTCCCTCCCTCCCCCCCAGCTTGCTATGCACCTGCCAGGTCTTCAGTCTAGAAATGTGAAAGTGTAACCATTTACACAGCTAACTGATGAGCCTGGGTTCATTAGTTAACATGCATAGTTACATGCAGCCCTCCTTCCTCCATGGGAGTAGGTGTGCGCAAGGAGTTGGCTTTTAAACCGGCTCCTATGGAATCACCTACCCCTCTCTGACTATCCCTCATGTGTAACTATGTAACCGCTGAAAATGTCAGTGGTTACATGTTTACTTGAGTAAATGAATTTTAACATCCCTACTTGAAGCTATATGCTTGCTAATTAGTGTTCATCAGGCATGTGTTGAACATAGTTAGCTTGGTTGCCAATGTTTCTTATGAAATTTAGTTAAAGGTTTCTACAGCCTTTTTCACCTGATGTAATTAGGTGAAATCTGTGCACTCATTTGTTTAATGTCTCTTGATCCCATTAATTTGTAATTGGGATTAATCAAACCCTGCTTATGATATATGCATGATTATTGTTGTCCTTTTGCTTGTACCAGTATGGTTTTAATTATAGAACTTTTTCCCTGAAAACAACTTCATATTGTTGTTGTTTGACATGTTGTTGTTTATCAAGATAACCAGGACCTTGCTGCTACTCAGGATTGTTCATAAATGTATATATCTCCAGCTATCAATCACTTATCTTTTTGTACCATGGAGGTGCTTCACAAGTAAATTAGATTTGCAAGGTGAGGTGTCTAGTTCATGAAGTCTTCTGCACATCTTTCTTTCTCTAGTCAAGGAAGCTATATTATTTTTGCATTTAATCTTTGTATCCTCCATATAATTTGTGTTGTGGACATTCACATGTAGCATTATCATGTAGCATGCCTATAAGCTGATCATACTCTGAACTAGTCTAACTTTCTCTGAAAGAACTTAAAAAACAACACAGTCTTGTAGCACCTTCAATGGAGGGTGGGGAGAGAAGGAAAAAATTGGAATCAGATAGAGTGTCCCTGTTTGGTTTTTATATCATTAGGATGTGGAATGTAGTGGGCCATCCAGCCAATGTCTTTATTCATGTTTGCTCTCTCAAAAAATATCGGCCCCTTGCACCCAAGGCACCGGGCCATGAGGCACAGCACATGTTTGGCATCCAGACGGCCAGAGGAGCAAAGGACTGAGCACCTTTTTACTGCCACTGATGGCACCAGTGGTACATGTGAAATACTCAGCACTGACGGCACAGCCTGCCTTCCCAGTGTTTCCTCTGGAACCTCCTGGTAGCGCAGACTTTCACTGCCAGTGCAGGCCTCTTAGTCACTTCGGTACCCAGAACACTGCTGTTCGGCACTGATGGCACACCAAATACCTCCCATTTCAGCTTGTCGCCACACCAGTGGGATCAGCATCTCCTCCTTCAAGTGATGAGGAAGAAGACTCCTCCCTGGTTTTCCACTCCACAGGCACTCCTCCCTGAAACCAACACAGCATCCACCTCATGGGCAATCCCTTAGTGACTGCCCCTACCAATACTCATGCCATCCAATTTGCCTTATTGGGATCCTTGGGCCATATACCTGGCTCAACAGCCTCAATCATTCCTACAGCTCCTGCACGCAGATCCTAGGCTTCCCCTGCTCAGTCAACAAATCAGTCCATAGCAAAGGAAGAGGAAGACCCTGAGATCATGGAGGAAGAGCCAGTAGTTGACTCCAGAGCACCAGCACACACATCTTCCTCCAGTGTGGGTCCCTGACTATAGACCTGTTTGCAATCAGCAGCAATTCCAAACACCCATGCTTCTCTTCCAGAGTGGGCCTCAGCCCCCAGTCCTTAGGCCCCCAGGTCATTATGATAAAGTGAGATGCACCCCTCATATACATTTTTCCACCACTGTCACTCTTCCGTGTAATAAACAGGACAGAACCACACTAATTCTAATAGCCCTCAGTTGGCCCGCAGAGCTGTGGTTTATTTACCTTCTCAAATGACAATAGCTCCCTCTTGGCGTTTTCCACCTGTCCCTTGCTTGATCACATAGAATGATGGATGACTGTATCACCCCAATGCTCAGACCCTGCAACTTCGGGCATGGCTTCTTGCTGACTGACCCCACTTGAACCATCTTGCTCTGCACGTGTCCCAGAGATTCTTCTCAATTGCCACAGTCGGTCTACTAGAAAAACATATTTGCACAAATGGCACCAGATCTAAACATGGTGCAATGATCATCTTGTCACCCCCATCAGCTGCTCTTGCATATATACTCAAATATCTCCTAGCGCTCAAAAACGTAGGACTCTCCCTTAGCTCCTTTAAAAGTACATTTAGTTCTTGGAGGACTACTGAATTTTTGCTTTATGAAGGAACTTCAGAATTCTTATCCTTCTATAAAATCTCCAATTCCCTCTTGGGATCTTAAATTAGTGCTAATGGCACTTAATGGGCAAATGATTTGAACACCTAGCTAGGTGGATACCTGTTCACTATTGATTTGTCCTTGAAAATGGCCTTTTTAGTCGCTATTAGTTCATCACACTGCGTGGGTGAGCTTGAAGCCCTAATGATGGACCCTCAGTATACCACCTTTCATCAGGGCAAGGTCATTCTCCAGCCACATTCCATTGTTCAGTAATAAATGCTCCAATAAATATGTATAAATACAGTAAACACTTATAAAAATTGAATTCATACTGTCTACTTAGAAAAAATACTGCAGGTGTTCTTCCTCACTACCATTCCCCTTTTCTGTCTGGATCTACTTGAGTGCAAGGGTTTATAGCTAGTAGTAGGAACACTTAACTCTACAGTATTTCCAGAGGAATTTATCACCAGCCCTGACATTCCACCCCTTGGCACATCATGTGGAAAGAGAAGTGGTTTTTTTGCAGACCTTGTTTTAAGAAGTTTTTCCATAGTAAAAATAATCCTGTTAACAAAGAATAAACCTCATCCATTTGAAAGTAGATATTGAGTTTATTAATATTGCATTTGGAATTCAGAGAATATTTCATGCATGGATAATTCATTAAGTGTTTAATTACACTTGTTCCCTCTTGCCTTCCATTTCTTTTTTATCAGAAGCAAGGGTCACAGTTCCTTGACCCACTTGATTTAACCACAGTGAATATATAAATAAAGCATATCTGTAACACCTTCCTTCTCCTCCTCTGTTCACTTTGCTTTTGTTCTTTGTCTTCTTGTATCCTGACAGCCTGGAAAGCAGAGGTGGAATGTACTGTAAAAACCTAGTGCCTGGAAGCTGTATGATTTCTTTCTTTCATCTATAGACTGTTGATCTAATGTGAATTAAGCAAAAAACAGGTTATTAGTGGAAAGAATTTTATTTTTGGTGCTCAGTATTTTGAGTCTCTGCTAGATAAATACATTTTAGGTATATACATGAGGTGGGGAAGGCGGAGGTTCTTTCTAAAATTGATTTTGGAGGTTTTTTAAATCCTTTCAAATGTAGGGTGAGTTGACTGGAGCATTGCTGTCCTCTCAGAGGAGAGAGTCTGTAGTCCTGTCTCTGTCTGGAACGCCTCCCACCATCCTCTGAATGTTCAGCTGCCTTATTCGTCTCATTAAAAAAGCATCTTCTACTACCTTTTCCTGTTAAGATCTTTCCCTTAGTCTTCCACAGCAATCATTCACCTAAAGACTCTCCTTTTGAGTCTTAGGTAATTTTGGACTGATTCTAACCATCTCTGTTTTATTTTGTTTTTTAAAGAAAAAGTCATTTTGTCTTCTGACTACGTTTAACTGACTGCCTGGCCCAGAAGCAGAGCCCGACATCCTGGGTGCAGTTAACTCTGACACCCAGTGAGTGTCAGCTGGAAGCTTTTAAAAAATCCAGGTTTGGTGTAGAAATTGAATTGCATGTGCAAATGCATTAGTATAATATATAAATAAAATATTGGCTCATTCACATTCCCTCTGAAATTCCCATTAGTAATTGGGCAAAGAGCATTTTTGCCCCCTGAAAAAGCACAACCCTTCACTCACCAAGCAAACAGCACAGCCTGTGTTTGTGGATGCTTTCTCCTTGTGGATGTTTTCCCTTGTGCAATGCTTGCAGCAGTTGATACGGCTGCATATACTTGTGTAACACAAACGGGATTAAAAGCACAGTTCAAGTAAATACATTTAATCTCCCTGTATTTGGGAGCAAATGTTTCTTTTGCTTCTCATCTATTGATGGTCAGTGTAGACTTTGCACAGCCTGTGTTTGTGGATGCTTTCTCCTTGTGGATGTTTTCCCTTGTGCAATGCTTGCAGCAGTTGATACGGCTGCATATACTTGTGTAACACAAACGGGATTAAAAGCACAGTTCAAGTAAATACATTTAATCTCCCTGTATTTGGGAGCAAATGTTTCTTTTGCTTCTCATCTATTGATGGTCAGTGTAGACTTTGCAAGATGTGCTCAGGATTGCACCAATACACTCCTGCTTGCCCTGCTGCAGTCAGTTCCAGAGGCAGCAGTTTCATAATCTGCATTTTTTTCCTCTTACAAATTTCCTTTAAATTTATAGTTATCAACCCCAAAAATGCTGCCTCCCCAAGTTCGACCTGTGCCAAGAATTACTTGGCACACAGGCTAGACAGGGCTGTAACTGTACTTGAGCTGAAGAAATAAGTAAAGTATGGTGGATATTTGACCTTTTATCTTAGTTATTCAGTTTGGCCCTGAGGCAAACAGGATCCAGTCTGTCATATCCCCCAGAAGAAAGGGAATTCCACCAATGCGTGGATCTTCGCATTACCTTTATGAAGGTCAAAAAGAACAGGCTTTAATTCATTGGTTGTGTCTGAACAAATCCTATGGACAGTCCAGGTCAGATGTCTGTGCTTTTCTGAAAAACTTATGTAGAATGCCTTAGCTTAGGAACACATCAGATTTATTTTCCCATTTTAAATTTCACAAAACATTAATTCTTAATACAGTATTTTGGAAAACAAAAAGCTTCAGGTATTTGACTATAAAAGCACTGTTGGTGCACAGCATCTCTGAAGATCAGATTAAATACTTAGGCACCTAACATTAGGCCCTCAACTTTGAAAAATTTGCCTGTTGTGTTTCAGATGAACTACCGGGCATGCATGTAACTGCATTTTTATTAAACAATACTGATCAACATTTTAACAATGTGTATATACGTCCATTATGGTCAATATGATGGACTGTGAAGGATCTGAGAGAAATCAATAAACATAGAGAAGTGAAGAATTTAAACATTAAATTCTAATAGCACCTTTTGTCCATGATATGTCAGACTGTGAGCTCGGCTACCAACTATGGTAACATAGGGCAGATATTCTTTTTTTTTTAATGTAGACCGCTGTAGTAGTTTTAGCACAATAGCTTTAGAGAGAGACACAGACATACTTAAATTATCTTAAAATATGATTTTAATAATGAAGGACAAACCTTGAAAGCCTATCAAAGTTTATTCCAATAAATATCTTAAAGGGTTTGTTTTGAATCTTAAGAGAATTTATCTGGATATTTGTGGATCCATTATGTTGAAAGTCTGATAAGGACAGTCTTGGTAATAGACCTAATTGGTGCTATGGAACCTATAAAAGCAACACACAGATGCACATTCTATATATCGTTTGTGTGGGGACTAAATGCTCCAAAGCTCCCATTTGTTGCTGGAAGGCACACACAGAGTATTACTATTTTGACATACTGGGTCAGACCTGCTCTTTCAATTGTAAACATATTAAAATGCTCAGGACGTGTAAGATGGGTTTAAAACATAGTTAAGGCAAACATCACAAGTATTTTGTGAGGATCTGTTCCTCCTGGCTCCATTGAGATGGTAGGTCTTGCTTACCCATTTTTAGAGCCTTCACCTTTTTTGTGTATGTACAGTGGGTGGTGCAGAATCTATAAAGAGCTCTCCCTGTGGGCCCCACTCCTGGATTTTTGGCTGTGGGGAAACTTGTGTATGTACAGTGGGTGGTGCGGAATCTATAAAGAGCTCTCCTTGTGGGTCCCACTCCTGGATTTTTGGCTGTGGGGAAACTTTTTTTTCCTCTGAATTTTTAAATTTCAGCTATCTAGAAATTATAAGGCCTGTGAGCACATTGTCAGCAGAGCTTGTAAGTGGTGTGAACCCATGCGTCTACTATCTATACATAACTGTGCCTGTGGAATTTATTAATATGAGGACTAAAATTTGGAGCTCATTCATGCAGGGCTGGCCTTACCGTGAGGTGAACTGAGGCAGCTGCCTCAGGTGCTAGACTGTAGGGCGGGGAGGAGAGAAGTTACTAAGACCCAGAGAACTGAGACCTTTCAAAGTTTTGGCCCAAGCGAGAGGGAGAGGAGTTACTAAGACCCAGAGAACTGAGACCTTTCAAAGTTTTGGCCCAAGCGAGAGGGCATGGGGGAGTCATTTGAGCTCCCCACCTCAGGTGCCAAAATGATGTGGGCTGGCTCTACATTCACATGATCATCAGCTCCAAAAACTATTTCAGCAAAATCTGTAACTACTGCTCTCTACTTTCCTATAAAGAAATATTTTTTACTCTCCCACAGAAGAGTTTTCAAATGTTGTTCTATAGGGTGATATCTCCTCTTTTTTTAACATTTTCTTAACCAAAATATCTTGGGGTAAAATTTGATTTAGATGAGATGAGGCATTGTGATCATTTTTTTTGGTTTGAAGAAAAAGGTTTAAAGTATTTTTTTTTCTCCTAGTGCATATAGGAAATGTGTTCTTCCTGTCTGAGGTCTCAATATTGCAAATACTCAGCACATGAATAACTGTTAAGCATAAGTGTTTGCAGAATAATGACATTAATATATAAGCTGTCCATCTCCCATCTGATTCCTAAGACAAGTTGCTTCCAAGTCATCGTTATTCAATCGAATAAAGTATCTTAACCAGGAAATGTACTTCATTAGGGGAAAAAAATACCTAAATCTGTCAATGCTCAATTGCAATCAGTGTCCTCTTCCTGGCCAAAGAAGGTAGATGACTCACTTTTGGCAATATGTGAAGTGATCCCCCTGGTTTAGCGTCTCACTTTCCCTAAACAGGAGGTAACATCCATTGGTTAATGTAGTTTGATTAAATTTGCATCTGTTTAAGGTTGAAGAAACATTCACCAGACTTTTGTTAGAAGGTGAACCTTCCCTTGTGTTTTTTTCAGCACTGTTTTGACGGTTCCAGCACTTGAGATGGCATAGGAATTTGGGCAAAGAGAGTGGAAACATTTTTCAACTTGATTATTGTTCTTGAGTTTTTATGTCAATCCAACTTTGAAAGAGAAAAAGAAAGAGAGAAAGAAAGCCTCTTTCTACATATTAGCAACTTCTGATGCATAGTTTACATTAATACCTATTGAGAAGCCATGTGTTTAAAAAAAATCTGCATGAGGGTTTCATGTGACCCTCATTGAACTATTGAGAGGCAACAAATATTAGTGTGGTCTCCAGCAACTAGCAGGAAGGAAATATATTCCACGTTTGAGCCACCATAGGTGATCTCAAAGATTTTCTTAAAGGAATTATTTCCCATTAAAGTGGGCCAAATTGTTGTCTTGAGATGCTCAAATTCTGCCTTTTTTGATCAGCAGGGTTGCATGCATGTAATTGAGGGCCCAATGTGTGGCTTACTTTGTTGGAATTACATGTTGGCTGTTTTTCATATTGGTTTGATTAAATGTCCTTAACATATTGTATGCATATTTAGGGATTGTCTGCATAGGGAAATTGATTGAAATAGCTATTTTGGTCAAAGCTATTCCGGAATGGTTCCCTTTGTGGATATTCTATTATGGAATAAGTCACTTTCTTCTGGAACAACAATTACTCTTCAATAAAACAACTTTTATTTCAGAATAGAGTGGTCACATGGGGAGCTATAGCTCATTCTGCAATAGCTGCTCTCGTCTATTTTCTATAGACAAGCTCTTAGGTAAATGACTACTAATGTCTATGGGCATTACTAATAACTACTTCATTTCTCATTCAAAACATATAAATTCTCACCTACAAAGTCAAAGATGTTAAGTCAACCATTTCCAGCTTCAACATCTTATGTTGAGTTCTGCACTTAAATTCCCTTGACTGCATTTCTTGTCTGCCTTAACATGTTTTTTCTATACATTCCTCAGTACAGCTTCATTTGTGTTTTTCTTCCCTCTTTCTTAGTTGTATGACAAGAACAGTAGAGATTTCTGGGGAAGGTGGACCTCTGGGAATACATGTAGTACCCTTCTTTTCATCTCTGAGTGGAAGGTAAGATATTTTCCATATTTTAGAGAAGCATGTTAATGAAAAAGATGTCAGCTGTGTTTATTTCTCTTGATATATATCTACTGTGAAAGCATGAAGGGGAGCTAAAACTATTTTAATAGCCAATAACCAAGCCCAATATACTCTCTTCCTTCGCTGACATCTGTTATTCTGTGTGTATTTTCCAAGAACAAAATCCGTTTTTGTTACATGTTCATTATATTTGCACTTTCAAGGGTCTCTGAATTTATTTTTCTGAATGAAAACATAGTAAAATGGTCTCTTGTTAAGATTATTGTACTTCCTGAGAGAGTTTTGTTGTCCAATTGAATTTGTATCCCTGAACCCTTGTTGCTAAATAGCAGACCAGACATTAAAAAGTCAAAATGACTTTCTAGTCATTTACTCCTTCAAGCAAGTCACCTTTCAAGTTAAGTTCTCAGCAGGTACAAACCACAAACTTTCCTTTTGCATGGTAAGATTATTTTAATTTTAAAGAATTTAACATAGTTTATTAAAATCACAAAAGACTACCATAGAGGTAAGTTCATATTGATGTACTGTAGTTGAGAACATGTCAGCATTTTCATTATAACTCTCTATTTTCCAAGTTATGTAACTCAGATATAATTTTTTTCTCTAAACTGAAATTTGACATAGGAGGTTTCTGCCAAAGAGCTAATTTGTAGTGCTGGCAGAATGAGAGCCCTGTGACAGGGATGGAAAATTGCTAGTGTCATAAATGGCATTGCTTTATAAAATGTCTGCTTCTTGTATTAGGCCAGTTGTAATTACAAACTTTAAAAAGGTCACAATCTAACCATAAAAAGAAATGTTTCTTAAGTTATTGATTTTCAGAAGTGAGGAGGACAAATTGTATTTTCCTTTTAAGATAATCTATTTGTGAATATTTTCACAGCAGGATTTAAGAGTTTAGATAGACTGGCATATTTTAGTTGCCAAATTGAAAAGCAGGCTGGCCATCTGCTGCTTGAAAAAAATGTCATTACCTTATTTCAGGAGGAAAGATTGAAAGTTAGGAGTTTTGAGTTCTGTCATGGGCTCTGTCAAAGGCTTCCTGTTTTACCTTGGGAAAGCCACTCTGTTTCTCCATCTCTAACATATAGGTAATACTTCCTTATTAGGGGGCATAGTGAGGCTTAATTTGCTAATTCTTCTAAAGTATTTTGAGATCCTCAAGTGGAAGGCACCATAAAACTGCACAGTATCATCAGTATTGTTATTGTGATGCTGAATTCTAACTGTAAGGGTTCATCTTTAAAAGAATTCACTGAATTACCAGCAGAGCTCCTTGGCCTACTTTGTGTGCATGTTAATATTCCTGTTTACAAATGCTGTGGAGCATAGCTTACAGCAAGCTATTTTTTGACAGACAGGCTGATTGTTTACCTAGTTGTCTTGAGAAATTCTAATGACAGTTGGCAGAATTGTACTGGAATCTTCGTAAAATACCAGAATGTTTTAACCACTTACTCCTGTTACCTAATCTAACAATGTATGTCTACACTAGCCCCCTAGTTTGATCTAGGGAGGCTAATGTAGGCATTCGAAATTGCAAATGAAGCCCTAGATTTAAATATCCCAGGCTTTATTTGCATGTTCCTTTCCGGTCGCCATTTTGAAATTCCACTAGCCCGAAGTAACTATTACACGCGGCAGTGAAACGGTAATTCGAACTAAGTCCTTAGTTCGAATTAACTGTTACACCTCATTCCAGGAGGAGTAACAGTTAATTCGAACTAAGGACTTAGTTCAAATTACCGTTTCACTGCCGCATGTAGCAGTTACTTCGGGCTAGTGGAATTTCAAAATGGCAACCGGACGGGAACATGCAAATAAAGCCCAGGATATTTAAATCCCGGGCTTCATTTGCAATTTCAATTGCCTATATTAGCCTCCCTAGTTCAAACTAGGAGGCTAGTGTAGACATACCCACAGAGACTAGCATATACATTTCATAAGTCATCAAAACACAAGACAGCAAAAGAAGCCATTTTGTTTCTGTTAATGAAAGACCGCATTTTATCAGTCATGTTGGACATCCACGTTGACTGGTATTTGCTAAGGAATAGTATTGCTATTACACCAGGCCTGCCGACGGAGGGAGGTAAAAGGGGGCAACTTTCTTGGAGCCTGGCAATTCAAAGGGGCCCATGGCTGCCATTTGCTGTGGCAGCTGCTGAAGCCCCAAACTATTTAAATTGCCACTGGGGGAGAAAGACACGGTATGGGTAGCTGCCCCAGCGCCACCCCTTCTGGGAGCGCAGAGCTACCCCTCACCTCCTTTTGCCCAGAGGCCTGGCGTGTCTTTTGGCTCGCCAATATTAGACTAATACATGTATTCATCTTCAGTGAATAACATTTAGGCATCTTCATTGCAATCCTGTTTTATTTGGTTTTATTTTCAGAATGAGTTTGAGCCACATGGTTGGCACTTAGGCTTTATGGACCAGTTAACAACAACTAGTTGAAATTTTTTTTTTTTTTTTTTTTGCACTTAGACTTACCATAAAAGAAGGAAATTAAATTAAAAAATCACATTAAAGTAAAGTTGAAGTTGAGTCTCCATGCAATTGAAGTAATGAAGTTAGACTGTCATAGCATATTTAACTCAGCCCGTGTGTTCAGATACTTCAACTCGTATGGGGAATATCAGGCTGGTTGGTGATCTTACAGTACTATGTGGCTATAGTGTTTTGGCACAGTGGGATTAGTTAAGATCATAGTAACAGATTTAGTTTTCAATTTCTTTAATTTCCATATTTTTACTAGATTGAATCTTAATGTAATTATTTTAAATTAAATTTTAACATTTAGCTCCTTGGCTGCAGGTAATTGGCTCTTTCTATTGCTATTCATAGCAACTTTCCCTTTCTTTATCACAGTACAGTACTGTAGGGGGATCCTGTACATGACACATTTGTTACAATGCAAAATTCCACTAATGTTCATTAGTGGAAGATGCATGCTTTTAAAAAATATATGTTTGTAGTTAAGCAAAACGTATATATTTGGCCATTCTGTTACATGATAAATTTAAATAATGAGATGAATAGTAATGGTATAAAGGAACATCAAAATTATATCTTGATGCTTTACTGAGTAAAAGCAAGGGAAAGGGTTTCTAGGGCTATGTCTAGGATTAATGGAACCTGAGTCGGTATATCGTGGGTTAAAGAACCCAGTTCTTGAATATCTACGTTGAAGGGGAGGTAGGGGGAGACCTATGATCCTAGCTATGGGTTAGCATGATTATGGATGTGGGAGGGAGTGGTGCATAGGTTTGAACCTGTGCTTACATTGCAGTGCAGACATATCCCAAATGTCATCTATTTGGTGCATAGATGGCTTTTGAGAGTTAATGTATAAAAACAGGATTATAAGGGGTCTGCGTATGCACAAAGTATTCTGTTATATGGAATGTTTGACTACTCGGTGAGACCCCACTCTCAGAAAAATACAGGTTTTTTTCACTTGAAGTCTTTCCAGTTTGCTGATTTGTGCTTAGCATGCTATGAGAAGGACATCAGCCTATCAAAGACAGAAGTCTGATTCTTTTTTATGTCATTTACTTTGTACTTTCACGACACTTTCTATTTGAGCTTCTGAAAGCACTGTGCAGCTACTGATATAGTAAACCTCACAATATTGATCTCATTTGTCATGTGAGGAAACTGTGGGTCAGTAGGAATTTAATTGATCTGACAAACAATGTTCAAGAAGTCCATAGGTATATGACGCAGATCTCCTGGTGACGACTTTTCAGAATTTTAGTATCAAATGCATGCTGCCTCTTAACTGTGCTTTGCAGAGCTTCAGGGAATCCTAGGCTTTAATACAGGAAGATTAGTCTAATTTCTGTTTCTTTGGACATGGCTGGAAAGAGATGATTTCTTGCATATGTTGTCCTTCCCTCATTGGAAATAGGCTTCCAATTCCTTCCTCTGTATTTTTCTTCTAGTATAATTAGAACTACTGTTTTGCACTTAAATTTAACCTTTTCCGTGTTATGATTCCATCTTATTTCTAACCTAACATTTGTCTGGAAGAATGGGGCTGGTTTTCCCTCCATTTCTCCAACGCTTGGTTAATGCAGTTGGCATTTTCTGAAGTGTTAGGAAGGGTTACCGATAGTGTCAGCAGACTAAAATTATGCTGGCTGGTTTCATATTCTTTTTGGAGTCCTTGTTCATTGATGGAAAATAGAATTTGGAATCTCTCCTTTAGACTAATGACTTAGTATGGTGTGATTAATAGACCACAAGAAGAAATTTGTTCCTTCCTCAATAGAGACCAATATCTATTTGTAATTATTGTAAATGTCTTGTATACAAATCTAATGCATAATAATCATCAGCTTTATTATTGCTTTTTAGGATTCTAGGACTATTTATCCGTGGTATTGAGGAGAACAGCAGGTCTAGACGTGATGATCTTTTCCATGAAAATGAGTGTATTGTGAAAATTAACAATGTGGACCTCACAGATAAAACCTTTGCACAGTGAGTGCTACTTAATTACTTAATTGATTCTGTTAATCACAAGAATTTTATATAATGCTGTATTTATTGAGGTGATTAATGTAGCGTGTTTCAAGTAAAGTACCATAAAATATGTATATAACTAAAGCATCATAATTCTCATTCATGAAACTTCCAAATGCAGTAATATATAGTTCCCATCATAGACTCAAATAATAGAAATTATAATATTGGGAAAATCCTACCGTGTGTTCTAAATTGCTTTGTCCACTCCAGTTTTAATGAATTTGAACAATAGAATACTACCTCAGTTGAGAAGTTACTGTTCAGTGTTAAAAATTGTTCCTTTCATCAGTGCTATTGCATTTCATTACTCCTTATCTGTGTCTTTGGAAGATCCTAAATAAATTCTCTCATTCCTTTGCATTTACATTTTATAAAGTTATAAGCTGTTAAATTATCACCTCTTAGTATTTGTTTAGCCATTCCACGCTGAAGATGTAGCTTGCATAACTTTTTAAAGCATCAGTGCCTTCACCCCCATTTCATTTTTTTCATCTTTAGTTTCCTTCCATTTTTAAGATATTTCTAGTATTCTAACTGTGTAGAAATAGTCTCCTTTCTGCCTCCTCCTGAACATTCTGTAGACTATGAATGCCTTTCAGCCTGTAACAGTGTGGAGAATGTCACCCTCTATTTTCTCTGTAATGCTCTTGCTTTCTGCAATACTTGGAAGCACTGGAGTCAATGCTAGTTCTGACAGTTTCCCTTTGAAACTGAGAGACTCAGGAGGCTTCACTTGCTCAGTTTTTGCCAAATATTTAATTTCCTTCTGACACCATGTAACCTACAAGAGTATGATAATTGTCTTTACTACCTGGCCCCATCACCTGCAATGAATCAGGGGTGCAAAATTTGATGCCTTTGTCAGATGACAGGGCTTTAAAACTGCTTATTCCAATCACTTCTGATATTGAAAGTTAAGAATTTGGCTGTTTTAGTGGTAAGGTCATAGGTCCTGCTGTTGATTGCAAAGGGTCCTTTAATATCTAGAAAAGGTGTTGGTGATTACATTTTCTTTTCCCAATTTGAAGTTTTTGAATACTGCCCTGAAAGGTTGCTTCTTCCTCAGCTTGAACCCTAGAAGACAATTTGTTATACTTCTGGGTTCGTAATGGTTTTCTACATTTCTACTGTGAATTTCCTTTTTCGATTAGTGTTAATAGATTCAATTCTATTTTGCTGTGTGATAGAGACTTTAGCCCCTCTTTTTTTTGTTGAGTTTTGTTATTTCTTTAAGTATGCATTTGGGGGCTCCAATAATTTGATTTTTTCTGCCCATTACATTTTAAAAAAATATCCTGACAGTCATTTTGCACTCTGGTAGTACTTGTAGGTTTTCCTCAGATTTACTTGTGTTCTCACCATTATTTTTAGTCTGTGCTAAATGGCATTTTTGTTTCAGTTTTAACCAAAAAGTTTAGTAGCGATTGGGTATCTATCTTAATGGATGATAATGAGGTAGTATCCGAGACTAAAATAAGGAAAGAACAAACTTAAAAATACAAGATAGGTGTCTTCAAGTCACCAGGGCCTGATGAATTACAGCCTAGAATATTCAAGGAATTGACTGAGGACATATCTGAGCCATTAGTTTTTATCTTCTAAAATTCATGGAAGATGGGTGAAATTTCAGAGGATTGGAAAGTGGTATTATATTCGCCAATCTATAAAAAGGGGAATGAGGACAAGCCAGGGAATTACAGACCAGTCAGTTCAAGTTCAGTGCCACGAAAGAGATAAAGGAGCAAATAAAGTAATCAGTTGTCACATTATCTTGTCTGTTTATATAAACTGACAGCATGGATTTGTCAAGAACAAATTATATCAAATCTACCTAATAGTTTTCTTTGAAAAGGTAACAAGCCTTGTAGAGGGGGGAGTGGTAGATGTTGTATCTCTTGATGTTAGTAAGTCTTTTTAATCTGTCTCTCATAACCTTCTAGGGACATACAACCTAGGTAGAATTACTATAAGGTGGGTGTATAACTGGTTGGAAAACCATTTCCAAAGATTAGTTGTCAGTGGTTCACTATCTAGCTGAAAGGGCATATAAAGTGGGCTCCCATAGGGATCTAGTGCTCTTCAAATCTTTGAGTGGTTTTAGGGAGTGGCATAGAAAGTACACACTCTGGCTACGTCTAGACTGGCCCCTAATTCCGGAAAAGTCATGCAAAGCAGGTAAGTCAGAATAGGGAAATCCGCGGGGGATTTAAATACCCCCCACGGGATTTAAATAAACATGTCCGCCGCTTTTTTTCTGGCTTGGGGAAAAGCTGGAAAAAAGCATCTAGACTGGCGCGATCCTCCGGAATAAAGCCCTTTTCTGGAGGATCTCTTATTCCTACTTGTCTACAAAACTATACTTGGGTCTACACTGCGGCTGAGTTCTGTCGCCATAACGTCGACAGAATGTAGCAGTTTTGTCGACGGCTGTAAACTTCATTCTACGAGGAATAACGCCTTTTGTCGACAGAGTTCTGTTGAGAGAAGGCATTATTGCATCTACACTGTCCTTTGCGTCTACACTGTTGTGACGTAGTGGGGGTACCTTGCTAGGGCTGTGGCGACCTCTGCTGTCTGTAGCAAGACCCAGCAGGGAAGGGGGGAGTCATTATGCAAAGGTGGCTCCAAACTGGTCTGACCAGCCACCCCCCATGGGGAGAAACAAAGGAAGGTGGAAGGCTGCCCTGGCTGGGGGCAGGGCTGGAGGAGAGGTGGTTAGTTGCTGTCTGGAAAGCAGGGGAGAAGGAGCTGGGGAGGGAGCTGGGACTCCTGCATTTCAAGGGGGGCACTGAGGCCTCTTAGCCCCAGTTCCCGTAACCAGATTACATCTGTGCTGTGCTATATCCTGGAGAAGCAATAAACTACCTCCATTCTACTGGCTGGTGGAGTCTGTTCGTGCCATTTCGTGGTGCAGGAGACGGGGGACCCCAACGCGCCGTCACAACTGTCATGTCAAAAAAGCGGCTTGCTTTGTCGACAGAACTGGATGTAGTCTAGACGCTCTTTGTCAACAGAAGCTTTGTCAACAGTATCTGTCAACAAACCTTCTGTCGACAAAAGCCTGTAGTCTAGACGTACCTGAAGTGACAAGCAGCTTAATCAACTGATTTATACAATGCTGTTATAAAAGTGTACAGAGTGAGGTCTTTTCTGCAGTGACACACTGGTGGTTAATATCATTGTGAAATGCATGAATTAACACTGTGTGAGGAAATAAGAATACTTCATGTCATTATGCTTTAAATTCTGTGGCCAAATAGGGGGAGAGATTCCTCCTAAGACAGGAGAGAAGACAGTTATTTACCTGTCTCCTGTATATGTTGTGTGTGGCAGAATCACAACATGAAAGCCTTGTTAACATGGAGGGGGGGTGGGAATTCCCTAAAAACAGAAGCACAGCATGAGGTCAAATAATATGTAATCAAAAATAGAAGACATATTTGTCGTTCCTCATTAGACAGACTCGGGAGGCCAGAGTTCTTGCAAACTGCGAATTATGGGTCCTTTAGCTATGGAGGGGTTGAAGTATCTGGAATCTGAATATAGCTGAGACGCCTAAGAAGACATGGGAAGACAGCACCTTGTCTTCTGTGGAAGGTCCTACCTGAGGGAAAAGTCAACTTTGGTTAGAAAGAAGACTGATAAGGGCAAACATCTAAAACAAAACATGTACCTTTTTTAGACTTCTGTGTTGGGTTCAACCTGTAAGTAGTAACCAAGGCTGGTGGAAGCTGTTGTCGGGCTGTGGACAGTAGCTAGGGGCAGAGCTGCTGGACCAGGACCCATGCTGGTAGCTGCCTGTGAGTGGCCTAGGCTGGAAACACCAGCAGAAAAGCATTATAAAGCATTCAGGTTTGTGACAGGCTGTGATTCATCCCCTTACTCGTCTGCACTGAACCCCAAACAGCACAGTACTCAGATTTTCTGGTTTTGATGTATCTGTTTTCATGCCTCTATTTAAAGGGCTCAGGATATCTTCCGCCCATGCTGGTAGCTGCCTGTGAGTGGCCTAGGCTGGAAACACCAGCAGAAAAGCATTATAAAGCATTCAGGTTTGTGACAGGCTGTGATTCATCCCCTTACTCGTCTGCACTGAACCCCAAACAGCACAGTACTCAGATTTTCTGGTTTTGATGTATCTGTTTTCATGCCTCTATTTAAAGGGCTCAGGATATCTTCCGTCAGGCAATGAAATCTCCAAGTGTCTTCTTAGAAGTGGTTCCTCCATATAATCGTGAGCTATATGAAAAGTCTGTCATTGCTCCCCTTTGTTTGCTTGATAATGATGGAGTTCCAAAAACAAAGGTTCCGCCTCCTGTTATTACAAAACCAACTGTGAAAAGAGACCTGTCTGGAATGAATGGCCTGGAGACAGATCTGCACTCAACGTTACAACATACTAAGAGTCCCAATCTCCCAAGGTTGGGTAAGAAGCCATCTTCGCCATCACTGTCTCCTCTAATGGGCTTCGGCAACAAGAAAAATGCAAAGAGAATAAAGATAGATCTTAAGAAAGGTAAAGGTTCAACAATGAGCAGTGATATACTATAACAATTACATGTTCTCTGTATTGATACCCTAATTTTTAACTGAACTAGTAACATGGAAACAGCATAATATTTCAACAGCTATATTTTATATTAGTAAAATATAAACACAATGTTCCGAACATGTCAGTAGGAACTCTTGCCAAGTTTTTCCTGCCCTATTTTGTTTTTACATGCTGGTCTGACAGTGTTGGGGTAGGAAGTTCATGTATGGTGATGCCACTTCATTCCTCAGGCCACATCTATACTTATGTGGAAGTTCAAATTAAGATACATATCTCCAGCTACGTTAATTGCGTAGCTAGAGTCAGTGTACCTTAATTCAAACTTTGTTGTGATCTCCACAGCAGGAGATCAACAAGGAGTACCAGCATCGACGGGGGTGCCCTCCGCATTTGATTGGTGGGTCTTCACTCGACTCACTAAATCAAATGCTGGAAAATCGACTGCCACAACATTGATCTCTGTCTAAATATAGATGTAGCCTGATTTAAGAAAAATGAGCCAAACAGGAAAAACAAATACAACATTTCCATGGCTTTGCACTTAATCTGAAGTGAAGAAGAAGCTATGTAGAGGGTGTCAGGAGTATAAATTAAAAACACAATAAAGCAGAGCAAATATGTGGAATGCAGGAATGAAATTTTGAAAATGTGTAGTGCAGCTCCACAGATGAATTGAAGTAGAGCTTTCAGGCACTGTAATTCATGGATTTTGACATCTGAAGGGACCATTATGATCACCTATTTACCTCAGGCCATTTCTCTAGTTTGTCCAGATAATTTTGAATTATAATTTTATTTTACAATGCACTTGCAACCTCTCCCAGCTTGGTGTCATCCAGTCATGCCATTGACTACAGGCACACAATATGATGTCCTTTCCTATGTTTGTGCTGATTTGCCTAATATTTTTACTATAATTCTGTTTGCTTTACACCATGATGTGCAAAATATTTTATGGGATGATGTTACTCTAAAGGATTTATATCTAAAGCAGTCTCAAAACTTCCTGGGAAAGAGGTATTTAGTGAGCCTCCCCCTCCCCCCCCCATTTAGTTTCTGATTGGAACACGGGTAATTCAGAAATATTTTAATTCATGCCTATTAACAACAAGGTGTGAACTGGTCTCTTCTGATTGTGGCATAATGCTCTTCCATGCAGTCATGCACAATGGCTTTCGTTAAAGAAGAAGCTTTTGTTAAAAGCTTACTCGCTTATTTGCTAAATGATTGCTCTTGATACTTGTATTTTTAAATGTAGCTGTTCCTTTCATTTTAATATAATTTTTTGTTGAATTTTACATTGACTCTTCTCTGTCTGCACTCTAGGTCCAGAAGGACTTGGTTTCACTGTGGTTACCAGAGACTCTTCAGTACATGGCCCTGGTCCTATTTTTGTGAAGAATATTTTGCCAAAAGGGGCAGCAGTCAAAGATGGTCGTTTGCAATCAGGAGACAGAATACTTGAGGTTAGCAGAACTGGGAATACCATAACAACCTCTTCCTTCTAACCACTAAGTTTATTGACTTTAAAAATATATATATTTTCTATATATTTGTATTTACTGTAACTAAGATAGCATGACATGTTTTAATACAAACCCATATTCACCCATATTGTAGGTTGTTGGTGTTTTTTTATAAGCACGGTGCCTTCATACTGCTTCTTGACTTAAGTGCACTAATACAGTTCAGAATCAGGGGCATGTGAAAAACGTCTTGCAAGGCATTCAGATGAGAGAGCTGATGAAATGGCTGCCTGATATTGAAAGTAGATGTATCATTTTTTTAAAAAGCAGGTCTCTGAAATAATATCCAAGAATCTGTGTGTTCACCCTGAATGTTTTTTTCCAGTGCACATTTAAAATCCCTTGTGTTTTCTGTCTTTTAAATGTTCATACTTGTATGACTTATGAACTCATAACCTGAGACTATTTTTACATGCTACTCTCAGAGTTCTGATGTAAACAATATTAATATTTAGCTCAGGGGTCGCCAACCTGTAGCTCCAGAGCCACATGCGGCTCTTCAGGAGTTAATATGTGGCTCCTTACAAAGTACCAAATCCAGGGCTGGAGCTACAGGTGCCAACTTTCCACTGGGCCAGAGGGTTTCACTGTTCAACCCCCAGCTCTGCCCTGCGTGCTGTCCCCCTCCACACTTTCCCCCTAGGATCCTACCCTCTCCACTGAGCCACACCCATGCTTCCCCCCTCCAGTGTCTCCCACTGAGAAGGAGCTGCTCACAGTGGGCAGGAGGAAAAGGAAAAGGAGGAGGCGACACTGACTGGTGTGGCTGCCAATGGGCAGGATGTGCTGTGAATGGTGGTGGGGAGATGATCAGGGCTGGTGACATATTGCTGTTGCTCTTTTGCAATTTGCATTGGTAAATTCTGGCTTCTGATCCGGCTTAGGTTGGCCACCCCTGACTTGGCTATTGTAAAGTGCTTTTACGAACTGAATAACCTTCACAAAGCTCAGTCAGGTAGGTATTATAAACCCCATTAATAGATGGTGAAAAATAGCAAAGAGGATAAGTGATTTGTGCAGGGCCTGAGAGGAAAGTCTCTGTGGCAAGCAAATTAAGGGCTTTGTGTGCATGGCACTCCAGCACATATTAAGAGGGGGGGGGGCGAATTCCAGCACGTATTGAAGTGCTGGTGTAGAACTGCCCGTGTAAACTCTGCCAGGTGAATGAACAGGTATCTGATTTGCAGTAACATCAACTGCCAGCAGAGTCTTGCAATGCAAGCTAGATACTTTGTAGCTCCTGCTAGTCAGGGGGCAGTCAGTGTTCAGCACCTCTCTGTGTGTGCTGCAACTCACAGTCCCGTATCTATGCCTCAGCACCATCTAGACAAGCCTTAAAACTCAACATTCCTTGGAGCTCAGACCACTGACCCACACCTCTCCCAGGTTAGAAAATCAAACACTGTGCTTGTTAGTAAGATTTGTCGTTTGTTTGGTTTTCCCCCTCCTAATTATATCCATTAGGTGAATGGCAAAGATGTCACAGGCAGGACCCAAGAAGAACTAGTGGCTATGCTGAGAAGCACTAAGCAAGGGGAGACTGTCTCTCTGGTCGTGGCGCGGCAGGAAGAAGCCTTTCTGCCTCGAGAACTGGTAATATTTTTTTCTGTTATGCGGAATCAGACTAGTCCTGTGTTTAGAAATTGACCTAAGAAAAACAAGGAAGCTGTCACTGGATGAGAAGCCAGTGAAGGGTAATTATTTAAAGGTTGCCTTGGGAAAGTATTTATATTTAATTTTGCCCATTATTTAATACAGTTCTTTGATATTTGATTTTCATCCCAGAAGTGACTTCATAGGTATAATTCACAAGGGAATACTGTAAATGAATTATGGAATTATGACATTGAGCATGCCTGAAAATAAAGGACTTTTTTTTTTTAAAGGCTTAGGGTTTTGTTTTAAATTTGAGTGTGTATGGTGAATTTCATTGCTTGTGAAAGTAATGGATTAATGACACTGGTTGCAGACAGGCTCCGAAGCTTCCTTACACCACGTTGATGGTGCCTCTAAAACGTGCTGTTGTGCGGTACTGGGCATCTCTTAAATTGTGGTAGCTATGTGAGGTGAAGGGAAAATTCCATAATAGTGCTCAGGAATACAAGGGGAGAATCTTGTGTTTTTGGCAAACATTCTTTGATTTAATAGAAAATTTTATAGTATGTGCAAGCTAAAAGTGTTTTAACAGATTTCCCATTCATTTACTCAGCCAATGTACTAGTACTGTGAAAGCAGGGATTTTTACCGTGCTTTGGAAAACCTTAAATGTGAAACTGTATTCTTATATACATAGGAGGAGTCCATTAATGTGGAGAGGGCTATCTGATACATACTCAAAAAACAGTAAATAGTCCTGCAGCACCTTAGAGATTAACAAAAAATGCAGATGGTATCACGCGTTTTCATGGGCACAGCCCACTTCTTCACATGGGTTGTGCCCACAAAAGCTCATGTTACCGTCTACATTTTATATTAGTCTCTAAGGTGCCACAGGATTATTTGCTGTTTTTAAGGTTTTTTTCAGTTAGACCAACCTGGCTACCCCTCTGTTACTTTGATACATACTTGTTTCCTCTCAGAGAAGGCCATCTCTTTCCCCTTATCTTGACTGATGCATATACTTGGCTTTTCAGTGAGAGCTCTGCGGATAAAGGAAGGACAGCACTTCCTGCCTTTGTCTCATTCTGTTTTCTTTGAAGAAAACAAATAGGCTTGTTTTCTTACTTGAAGGACTTGCCTTCTCCCTTTTTGTCAGGACTTGACTTTTCTTTTTTGCTTTACTGCCTGTTAGCACAATCTCCTTCTGCAATCCTCTTTGGTATGTTTTCTCATAGTTTTCCTTATTTCCTTGTTATCACCTAGTCTTTCTTGAGCAAAGAATTTGTGTTGCCTGGAGTCCTATCGGAAGTCCTGGAGTAGGTTAGTTTCTGTGATGTGACTCTCTGTCTTTGTGCAGCTGCTAGCTACTGCTTCCTGAGTATGTCGGCCTGTTCCAAAGTCAAAATACAGTGTGCTGCACTAATCTATTTTTGTTTTCATTTTCCTTTTTACTTGAGCAATTATGTCAGGGGAAAAATTAGTGACGGAATGCTGTCAAACCCATCCCAGGTTAATTAAAGAGATAACATTGCTAATTAATCATTCCCAGAGCTTCCAACCATCCTGACCTTGGCGAGACTCTGTTTAAAAAGATCCTGAGTTCTAAATTCACTGTGTGTATGAGCATTAAAGAGAGTTTCTAAATAAATGCACAAACCTGTCCACTATATTTACGATCAGAACTCACTCTCCTTCTTCCCAATTTTGTAAAAATAATAAAGATTAATCAAAAACAATTTTGTTCTGTAACTTAGAAAATACTATTGCTTAAGAAATGAATGGGGGGGTTTAAAGTGTGCCATACTTTTTTTAAAAAAAAAAAAACATTTCCATTTCTGTTTTTTCTACCTACCATCATGTTTTCTTCTATCTGTTGTATGCCATGTTATCCTGGAAATCAAAGCAACCCCTCGTAGGTAAAAGAGGCTGCAGAAATTTTTAAAGTATTTATTATTTCAATCAGCTATGCTTGCTTTCTAATGAAATTCTAGATCCTACTCTAGTCCTTGTAAACCCATTGAGCTACCATATAACACATTTTAGTAACTGAAATCTGTATTGAATACTTTTAAAGAACATCTCCTTCTAAATTTAGAAGCCTTTCAGTTTCAGTAATGTCTGCTTGGTAGCTTGCTACAGAAACATGGTTTACCAAAACTGCTGAGCTACCAGATGTTCATATTAATGATGGAAGTCATATGGCATCTGAAAATAGTCTCAGAAGAGATTTTTAAAAGAAATCAGAATTAGCTGATTGTGCCTTTTGTTGTTGTCTTAAATTTTTAAGATTGAATTAATTCTCTGCCACCAACAGCACATTTTAAATAGAGAAGAAAACACAAACAAAATGACTTAGAATGTTTGTTTTTAGCACAAAAGTAGAGGGATGGCTAATCCAGTATTTACTAAGGATGATCTTAGGAACAGGCTGAAACCCTATGTATTGCATGTAGAATTTGACCCAGAAGTTTGTCATGGTGGCATTTTTACCAGTAGTGTAAATGCTGCTACAGCAAACCTCCTCTTCATTTGAGCCATGCTCTAAATATATGGGTTTAGTTCAAGCTGCTGTTGTTGGTGATCTCAAAAAATCCATATGGTTTGGCAACCTCCCTTCTGAAAGGCATAGTTCAAAACCTCTGGGTCCTCATGATAGAGCTTTCTATGGCAAAGTCTTTAGCTTTGGAACTGACCCCCATGACTGTGACAGTCCTTCCCAGTCTCCAGGGCATGGCACAAAAGATGGATGTATTATTTTCATTCCATTTCATCTTGTTTATGTTCTTATCTGTTTAAATAAACATACTGGCTTTAGCACTAGTTCCAATAAAATGGAGAGGTGGAGGGTGAGCATGAATCGGTGGATTTGTGGTGCTCTGAAAGTGCTGGGAGGGAGAGGAAGGAGTAGGAAGTAGAGGGAAGGAGGCAGACATGGGCTGCAGGTGGAGCCTCACCACTGAAGTAAGGTGATAGGGAGGGTAAAAACAAAGCATCTTGTTATGAAAGCTTGTCTCAGGAACCTTTGAGCAGTATCAGCTTGCATAGGAGCACCATCTGAGTTTATTGCCATTCAGGTCTTGTGCTGATAATTTGCTATCAGGTATTACAATTAGATATTGAAAGCAGTTAACCTTTATCCCGGCTGTCTCTTGCTGCTGGTGTAGGTGAGGGGATGTTGTACAAAGGGGATAGTATTGGATAACAGAGGATTGGAATTTAGTTATACTAACCCTATCTAATTATAATTCCATTGTGTGCACATTATACATTACATAAAGCCTAACACACACTCTATGTTACTGTCATTACTCAAAAAGAGACTGAAGCTCTTATGAGATTTTCTTATTGAAGCAAATGAGGAAAGTAGAATTTGGACCAACCACATAGTATCCAGTTATTCAAAAGATACTAGGCATTTCTGCTAGTTAACAGTGTAATAGCTGAATAAGGGGCTGGTTACAAAACTCAGGGGATGACCTTGAATTGTTTGATTACCTCAAACTCTACAGACTGGCTTGTGATTAGTGCATTCTGTAGGTGCATGTGGGGTTTAAGCAGTGCAGTACCGTGTACATTTTCTAAAATATGTTTAAAGATTAGAGAGGAAAATGACTCACTAGTTAGGGTTAGATTTACCGACTATTATCAAAATTAATGAAACGTATATCAAGCCAATGCTACTGTTCCATTGTAGTCTGAAAATATACACTTAGTTTTGATTGAGTGTTATCTGTGTGTGTCTTCTCTCCTTTTCCCCAGGGAAAAAAAATTGTGATCTCAGGGTGGCGCACTCTTTTTTTTAATGATTTAAAGATCATTTGCCTTTTTCTCCATGTTGGTAAAATAAGCAAAGTCACTTAAATTAGAATAATCTAAATTTTAACTCTTCTGTGGCATGGTACTATTTATTCCCTGGGCAGTGGCTTTTTAAAATGTTCTTGTTATGCTTAATGAGTGCTTAAGCTATAGGATGTATATGCACAGTGGAAGAGAAGTTCCCTTCCACCAAACTTGTCAAAAGTAATAAAGCATTGAAAAGGTTGATATGTGTTTTTATGTATTTTAAATCTTGGCATGCACATTACTGGAAGCTTTGCATCTGTTTGTTATTTTAAAAATAGTTTGGAATAATCAGCTCTATGCGATCATTATTCGCCTTGATTCTGTGCACACGGCCTCATCCCTTGAGGAGAAAACAAAGCAAAACAACAAACAAACATCACAGTGATGTTTTTATAACAAATACTGAAGGAGAAGAATCTATGTAATATAAATGTTGATCTTTAAATATAGAATTCTCTTTTTACATATTTACTACGCAGCATGGAAGGAAGCACAGTTAGAGGCAAGTTCAGTTATGCTTTTTCTTCCACTCACTCTGTTATTAACTTGTATGTTTTAGCTTTTTCCTAATTAATTCTTTACCAAAAGCAACATTTGTTGCTTACCTGAAATGTTGCTTTTTGTATTCTAAGTATTTATAGGTACCACCCTGGAATTCTTTACCAAAAGCAAGATTTGTTGCTTACCAGAAATGTTGCTTTTTGTATTCTAAGTATTTATAGCATGTTTTGTTTTTCTTACCTGTTAATCTACAGGAAAAATGGCACCACATTTCAACCTAGCCTTAACATTATTGTACCTCCAATTGATTGTTCTTACAATTGCAATAATTTATTTATTTAAAATTCCTGATTAGTAGATTAAGTTAGGAACTTGTCTCATATACAAATATCTTAAATTATGGTTTAGATAAATTCAGTTGCAGAACTACCCTAGCAATTTAACTGTTCCCTCTCAAAAATTAAATCTTGTTTTTTTTTAAATCTGGCCCTTAATAAACATCAGATGTTAATGCTTTTAAAGAATATATACTAATACAATTTCTACACAAATATTTTGTACTTCATATAAATAATGCGGAGAAAATCTTATATTTATATAGTACCTTTCATTCCGAAGTGCTTTATAGATTACATACATACCAAGATCAC